GGACACCGAATGCCTTCTTCACTCCACTCCCAGGCTGTGGAGCTGAGGCAAACCTGGAAGGAGCCAGGGACCCAGGGGTGACTTCAACCTCCCCTGCCTTGGTCTCCCCAGCTTCCATCCCCCAGCCCCATCCCTGTGCACACTGGCACATGCATGCGCGCACACGTACAGACGGACAGCGAAAAGAAGAGAGCATGCAAATGTTATGAAAAGTTGTTTTAAGCTAAGCCAACAAGAGATGGTGTAGGGATGAGCTACTTTTTAATTTTAAAATCTGTTTGGAGTTGTTGGAACATGATTTGTGTAATATAATCAAGTCTGGTCTAATGTTGGACCAATTACCAAGCTCATAGCATGGTCATCTAGGCGTGTTCCAAGACTAGAGGCATCTTGTCTCATCTTGTTTAGCACCATGAACACCTCTGGCCAGTCTGCCACGTACAGAAAGAATCTATGCCTTACCTGCATTTATTAGAAAACTACAAAGGCTGACAAGAAAAAGACTTAGTATGCCTCTAAAAAAGGCAGAAAAGAACAAAGTAACCCACTTGCTAAAGGAAACAATTAGAAAATGTGAAAACAGAAATTAATAAAATAGAATACAAGTGAAATACAATCAGCAGATTTGATCAATACAACCAGAGATGGCTCTTTGAAAAGACCAGTATAGCTGACAGATTTCCAGATTTTATCAAACTCTTATCAAAAAAATCAGAGAAACAATATTAAAAAATAATTTTAGAAATGAGAGAAGGCAAGGAACTACAGATAAGGGTGATATTCAAGACGTATGTAAGAATGTGTGTAAGCTGTGTGTAAGAATGCATGTAAGATGCATGTAAGATGTGTGTGCGATGTGTGTGCGATGTATGTAAGGATCCTTGGTACAATTTAATGTCCATCAATGTGAACCTCTAGATAAAATGAATGACTCTTAGGAAAATATAAATTGTTATAATTGAATCCAGAAGAGGTAACCTACATAGTCCAATAAACGTGGCAGAAATCAGAAACATAACAAAAGGCCTATTCCTACTCCTTCAGCAGGAAATAAGCTCAGATCGTTTATGGCAAGTTATACCAAATTCTCCAAAAAGACATTATTTATCATATATAAGCTGAACACAGAGTAAGGTAAAATAATTTCTCCTTCATTTCTGAGAAAACTCTGAACATTAATGAAAGTAAATACGTGGTCCCATAATTCACTGGAAACGTAAGTGTCATCAATATGTTGACAGTAAATATTCAGCATAAATCAACCTCTTCTGATTGGTTTAAAAAACAACTAAACAAATCGGGACGCGATCAAATAAAAAAGGCTTCTGCACACGCAAATGAATAGTCAAGGGAGAGCAAACAGACAACCCACAGAATGGGGGAGAAAATTTTTTGCAAGCTACCAATCTAATAAAGGCGATAACTAGAATCTATATTAGACTCAGGAAAATCAGCAAGAAAAAAAATCAACAAGCTCTATCAAAAATGTGGGCAAAGGACATGAACAGAAACTTCTTCAAAAGAAGACGAATAATGGCAACAAACATAGAAAAACATGTTCAACATTCCTAATCATCAGAACTGCAAAATCAAAACCACAATCGCAGATATCACTTAACTCCAACGTGGGAGAATGGGCCCTTTATCAAAAATCCCAAACTAATCGCTGGCGTGGATGTGGGAGAGAGAGGAACATTCCGTGCATGCAGGTGGGGACTGCAAACTAGTTCAACTCTGTGGAAAGCAATATGGAGTACTTCAAAGTGATACAATAGATCTACCATTTGATCCAGCAATCCCATTACTGCATCTACACAAAAGATCCAGTGACACTCTACAAAAAAGACACCTGCACTCAAATGTTTATAGCAGCACAATTCACAATCCAAAGCTGTGGAAACAACCCAGTGGCCCATCAATTCATGAGGGTGGATGAATAAAATGTGGTATATGTATACCGTGGAATACTACTCAGCTTTAGGAAACAACGGTGATATAGCACCTCTTGTATATTCCTGGATACAGCTGGAACCCATTCTACTAAATGAAGTGTCTCAAGAATGGAAAAACCAGCACCGCATGTACTCACCAGCAAATTGGTATTAACGGATCAACACCTAAGTGGATATACAGTAGTAACATTTATCGGGAGTCAGGAGGGTTGGGGGCAGAGGAGGGGATGGGTATATACAACCACAATGAGTAAGATGTGCAACGTTTGGGGGATGGACATGCTTGAAGCTCTTACTCGGGGGAGGGGGGCATGGGCAATATGTGTAACCTTAACACTTGTACCCCCATAATACACTAAAATAAATAAAATAAAAATAATAATAATGCCAAAGGATACTTTGCTATTTGACATTTAAAAAAAAAACTATTAGTGTAAGTAGCAGCTTAACAGATCAGAGAGATACTTCACTTAGGATAATGGCTTCCAGTTCTACCCAAGTTGCTGCAAAAGATATTATTTCATTCTTCTTTTTGGCTGAGTAGTATTCCATGGTATCTAAATACCACATTTTCTTTATCCACTCATCTGTTAATGGGCATTTAGGTTGATTCCATATCTTTGCAACTGTGAATTGTGCTATGATAAACATAAAAGTCCATGTGTCTTTTTTATGTAATGATTTCTTTTCCTTTGGTTAGATACACAGTAGTGGAATTGCTGGGTCGAATGGTAGATCGACTTTTAGTTGTTTGAGGAATCTCCATACTGTTTGCCATAGAGGTTGTACTAGTTTACATTCCCAATGTAAATTATACAATGTGTAAGTGTTCTCTTTTCACCACATCTGCACCAACATCTACTGTTTTTTGACTTTCCAATAATGGCCATTCTGACGAGAGTAAGGTGGTCTCTCATTGTGATTTTCATTTGCATTTTCCTGATGATTAGTGATGTTGAGAAGAAGAAAATTATTAAGACTTTTGAAATGAACAATAACAACAATTTTAAGACTTTAAATAATGGAGATTCATGGTATAATTCTAGATGGTAAGAAAAATTATAAAAATGTCAAAATTCTCTCCACATAATCTTTATATTCAATACAATTCCAATTATAATTTGAGCATAACTTTTAATAAAACTTAATACGTGGATTCTGAACTTAACATAAAAATATATAAAAATTACTAGTGAAATTTTCAAAAAGAACAAGGACATAGAACTAGCTATACCACAGATAAAACCACACTACAAACCCATAGTAATTAAAACAGTGTTTGTTGACTCAGAAACATACAATTGATTAATACTACAAAACAGATAGTATAGAAACAGATAAATAAATCCGAGAATTTGTTTTATGATAAAATGTGGCCTACGCAACAAATGATATTTCTTTCTCTGGAAGAAAAATGAGAGTGATAATAGAACATGTACAAAATATATCATTGAAAAATAATGAGACACATGCTTACTGATAGAGAAAGATTTCCAACACATACCTTAAAGTGAAAAAAGGTGTGTCACGGAGCAAAGTGCATACTATAATTCCATTCCTGATGTAAGAGGCAAGCACATTTGTACAGATTTGACGTGGGTTCATGGAAAAGAGTCCGGAAGATACATGCTAAACTATTTACAGTGGCTACTTTCAGGAAGGAAACTGGGAAAGAGAGGGAATCTGAGAAAATTTCTCACTTTGCTCTGTATTCTTCTAGAGTATTTTAATCTTTCAGGCTAAAAATTAACTCATCCATGCATTTCTTGATTTTATGCATTTAATGATTATTGTGCCCAAGAAGAACAAGAAGAATAATTATGACATTATGCACTGTAAGAAAGAACCCGGCATCTACAAAATAGGTCTGAAGCTATGGCCAGCTCAGGAAGCTCTCTGAGCTGACCCTCTGCAGCCTCCTGGCCATCCTGCTGTGCCCGCATATGCGCTGTCCTCTCTAGAGCCAGGTCTGCTCCTGCTCCTGCTGCCCCAATCGAAAGTAGACCTCGATGCCTGTCTGGTCCTGAGGCTGCCTGCGCTCCTCGGATTTCATTGCTCTCCACGTCCTTGGCTTTTCGTTTCGCCCACTCACACTCCTGAGGGCTGACTTCACGCACCGCAGCGGGGGATCCAGACCCTCCTGGCCAAAAGGTTGCACAAGTTTCCCCAGGAGGGGGTGCCCAGGCCCTGCGCCCAGGGCCCCCAGAGCAACAAGCACCACTCTCCCAGGAAGCACCCACCATCTTTTGTCATCGTCCTCACATTTCCTGGCCCTTATTGGTGTCAGGAAATTATTTTATGTAGCATCACACTGTCTGCCAACTAGAATGAGAGAAAACAGGGACTCTGATTTCTGCTCTCTTTTGTTCTACTCGCCTGACACCTAGAAGTGTGTCTGGCTCTGTAGCACTCATAAATGATTACGGAGGTTTCAGGAAGTCACGGCCCGCTTTAAATTCACACACGCGTGGTCAATTGCGCTTCCCTTCATGGGACGTGGTCACTAAGCAAATTATAAAGAAGCCTCTTGCCTCTGCCAGACCAGTTTCTAAGTACTGTGTCCACCCGAGGAGATGGAAACGCCCTCGATGTTTTAGAGTGTCACTCGCATGAAACACACTTTTCTGAATTTCATGACTGGCCCCAGGGTCAGGCAACAGGATGCCTTCTTACATCTGGCATTAGCCTGGAGAATTTCTCGGGAGTTTTCACATACTCAACCACCTATATCTTATTGGGTCCATGGCCATTTTCTCCTCTAGACAATGGTTTCCCTCCCTGGATTACCAAAATCCTCCAGAATCCACGCATGTGAAGCCAGGGTCAGGGGCCAGGCCGCCAGCACAGGTTCGATCTCATAAATTTCCCGTGTACGCCCTGGCTGAAGAGTCATCCGATTAAAGGTTTCCTATATCTCCCTCCACAACAAACCCAAGGAGGAGTTCTAATTTCTGCCTAGCCCCGGCACTTCCGTGTTTCTTTCCCAGAGGTTTTAGCTCCAAAAAAACACTACCAAAAACTTTCCAAAAATACTGATTCCTTGAGGAAAAGGCCGCAATGGATCCAGCCCCCCAGAGGCCTTAATGAGAAGAGTGCCTGCCAGCCGAGCCCGTCCCCCGAGCCTCAGCAGGAATCCAGCAGGACCTCGTCACGGGACACAGCCACACGCAGCCCCCAGGTGAGACGCTCACAGGTGACTGGTCCGATATCTAACCTGGCGAGTCAAGCGCCGAGCAGGGCAGCTGGCAGCACAAGCAGAGAAGCTTACACGGGGAGGAGACCTACCACTTGGTGATCCGTGAGACTTTGGGAAAGAGAGCAAACGTCTCCGGGCTCAGGCTTCCCATCTATGAAATGGGACCTATTAGGAATTGGACCTATTTTCTGAGACAGTCATTGCGAATGGGCTGAGCACACACAGGGAGCACAATAACTGTTTGTTTTCTCTCCAGACTTTCCCTATAACCTGTAACTAATCCTTCCACCAAGAAAATGGGCCTCACACGCAGTTTTGGTTGTTTGGGGTTCTTTCAGTTTTTGATTTTTTAGATTTTTGTTTGTTTGTTTGGTAACCCTTGGACAGTGTCAATCGAAGGCCTGTTGTGAGCACAGGCTGTGTTTAGCACTGGGCCAATGCATCTTAGGGATGACAAAGAAACCTAAGAGATGTTTGCTGCCTTGTAACAGTTTATAATTTGCTCGAGGACATAAAAGTGAATATTTGTTGGCAATTACTGCTCCATCAAGGCAGCTTTTACTCAAAAGCCCTGGGAACAGAGGCCAGAGCAGCCGTGTCGGGCGGGTGCTTAGCCTTGCCAAGCCTGCTTCTGCGGCTGCAGAACTGACGCCCACCTCCTTGGGCTGCTGCTTGACTTTTAGAAAGCATCAATGAAATGATGTCGGTGAAACATTTCATAATGTGCCAAGCACGTGGCAGACACATAAGAAATGCTTTTTGAATTTTGTGACCAAACACGCGGGGACTAATTAGGTGCCACCGCAGTGGACGTGCAGTGGAGCCGCACTAGGCGGCAGCGGCGGGCAGCGCTGGGAGCCGCAGCCCTGCCCTGCGGTCGTCGAGTCCTGACTCAGGACAGCTTTTACGGTCGCCTTCGCTTCCGTCACAGCAGGGCAGGGCACAGTGACACGGATGGGCGTGAGCTGGGAGCTAGACACGCGTGGGCTCTACATGCAGCCTCACGGTCACCTGGCGTGTGGCCGTGGCGCGCCTGGCCTGCTCCCTGTCTGCTGTTCCGCGTCTGCGCGGGCGGGGGGGCCCTTTCCTCGCGGGCGTGGGTGGGGCCGCACGGGCGTGGGGCTGGGCCGCGATGGGGGGCCAGAGATGATCCTCATTTATCAGAAACCATCAGCCCGAGCCCATGGTGGGAAAGCCAGGCCTGTCCCTCCTGAGGAACGGGAGGCGGGGCCGGTGACAGGCAGGGGAGCGGGCAGGGCGGGGAGGACGCAGGAGAGAGGAAGGACGCTCACACACGCAGCGTGGGGGTCCGGGGCGAGAGGCAGCATGGCACTATTTAGACCAAGATAAAGCCCCCACCGCCAACTTAGCCCAGGGCACCCCAGAAAACCCTGAGAACTTAGTTCCAGCCCTGAAAGGGAAGGGAGGTCAGCCATACCCCCTTACACTCCTGTTTGGAGTTCAGACTAAGTACAAACCGGACCTGAGGCCGTGCGAGGCCAAGGTTAGGTCACACCTGCAGGCCTTCCATTTGCTGAGCAGACCGCCTGTGAGTTGGACCTTTGTGGCTTGCTCTCTGATTAGCAGACCTCCTTATCTTCCCTCAAGTATCCCTTTTTACTGATGCCAAGTCTTTTATTTAAATTTTATTTTACTTTTCTCTTGAAGATTCAAATTTTTTATTTTATTTATTTATTTAGAGAAAAGGTCTCTCTCTGTCGCCCAGGCTAGAGTGCAGTGGCATCATCATAGCTCACGGCAACCTCAGACTCCTGGGCTCAAGTGATCCTCCTGAGCAGCTGGGGCTACAGGCACAGGCCACTAGGCCAAGCAAATTTTTGTATTTTTTGAGAGTCAGGGTCTTATTGTGTTGCTCAGGCTGGGCTCGAATTCCTGGCTTCATGCAAGCCTTCCGCCTTGCCTGCCAAAGTGCTGAGACTACAGGCATGAGCCAGCACACCTGGACTTGACTCCAGGTCTTTAGACAAAGCTTTGTTTCTTTGACAGATGAAAGAATCTCTGAACCCTCCTATAACTTAGCGGCCCCCACTTGGAGATGTCTCACCTTCTCCGGCCAAACCAACGCAGTGATTTATGACTTTACCTGCAGTTCCTGTTTCCCTCAAACCTGCAAAGCCAAACTGCTTCAGGGCTCAAGGCTCCTTGGATGTGTGGCCATGGAGCTCTTATTGGCTCAGAATAAACCGCTTTAAATTATTTTACAGAGTTGGGGGGAGGGTATTTCTAATAACACTAGGAAGAGGGAGGAGAGAATGAGGTCCAAGAGCATTGCAGAAACCCCTCGGTCCCTGGCAAGCTGGGACAATCAGTCACCCTAATGCCATCACTGAAGTAGCAGCAAGGGCACGAGGAGAAGCTGGGCGGAGCCAAGAGGATGGTGCATGAGCGACAAGGGAGCATCAGAGGTCCCAGCAGGAGAGCAAAGCCCCAGGGAAAGCATTTGCAGAGCTCAGCTATAGCTCAGAGCAAGAGCACAACATGTGGCCATTTCCTTGTATGGGCATCTGGTCAACCAGCTCCCTAACCCTAAACAACCCTTAGCATCCTGCCTGGCTGGCTGTGCTGCAAAGACATTTTCCAAATCAGTGAGATGGCCGTGACACCTTCACCAACAGAAGAGATGCTGGAAGAGCTACTAGCCCTTCAGCCCAACTGGTGAGAGCCCAGAAGGAAACTGAGGTGCTCAGAAGAAGGCAGGGCATCAAGATTAGAGAACAGAGCCAGAAAACTGAGGAGTGTGCTGTTAACGGAAAAACTTCCAAATGCTGTAAAATACTTTAAGGAGTCAAAACATGTGTTGCGGTGGCCCAGGGAACATGGTGTCAAAGGCCTTGAGGAAGTGTGCCTGAGGCCCGCCAGGTTACAGTTTAGTTTTATACACTCTTGGAGGTAGGAATTGTAGGTGAAACGAGAAATCTATACATGGAAGGTATACATTGGTTTGGCCTGAAAAGGCAGGGCGATTTGAAGTGAAGGCTTATAGCCATAGGTGGGCTTTAGGGAGCTTTTAGTTGGCAATTGGTTAAAAGAGGTTCAACGTTGCCTAAAGACCTGGAGCCAGTAGAAAGGAAGGCTTGAGGTAAGATGGGGGTCTTCCATCTGTCCTGCGATGCTGTACTAGATTCAGGCTGGAAAGTAAGCCACGTTATGCCTATACTGGGTGAATAAAAACCCACTTAATGAGATGTTATTGTGCAGGCATGACTCACCAGGCTTCTTACAAAGGAATTTGGGCAAGAGAGAGAGAAAAAGAAGATCAGAGTCCAGTCCTCAGTTCCCCCTTTGGGCCAAAGACCATTCCATGGAATTCATTTGCCAACAATCAGCAGGAGGTCTTGTGGTGCTAGGAAGGGTTGTTCCCAGGGTTGTCTATTTGATCGTGTGGCATCGGTGACGATAGTTTCAGTACAAGTGATGTCAGATCTTAGGGGAAAGACACGGTTTGACCTGATTTTAGAGCCAATTGTTTAAGGGGCCAGAGTGCCAGGCCCAGGGCTCAGTCTGGAAAAACAGATCTATTCTACAAGCTATCATGATCAGGTCTTTGATTGGATCTCTTTTCTTTTCCTGTATCTGGTGTAGTATTTACAGGAGATATAGGATGATAGTATAGTGAGAAGCGTCATAACAACAGTGGAGATTGGGCGTCCAAGGAAGTTTTAGGTGGAACCAGAGGGCAGCGAAACAACCAACCAGTGGAAAAACACCCGCATGCACCGTCCTGTTCTCCAGTTAGATTTATAATGTGTTTAACCTCATTATTAACAGTCTTTTCTTCTGGCCAATTGATCTCCACGGGTACAACATCCTGAGGGGTATAAATCAAATTCAAGAAACATGAGTTCTTCGGTGTCTAAACTGTCAAAGGGTTTGTTCACAGTTGACAAATCTGTTTTTCCCACCACCTTTGTGTTGCACCATGTACCGGTATGTGGGCGGGAAAAGAGGTTTTGTGACAGAAGAAATCATATAATTCTCCAGTGTCATTTTGTCAATCCTCCTGACAAAATCAGCACTTTCCCATGTACCAAATGTTATATCCCGTGGGAGTGGTTATTAGAAGCCAAACTTGGGAGAAATCAGGGTTCCAAGTGGTTTGAGGGTCCCTTTCTATTTTCACAGCCTGAAAATAGGATACCATGTGTTTTCACTAACTAAAAATAGCCCATCCATCAGCTCCCCATGGGGACTATCTGCATATGATTTACGATGGTCCCAAAGCCTGCCAGTTGAACTACGGAACACATTTAAGCCTCATTCAACTCCAGCACTTGAGCTTTACGAATACAGTGTCTGAGGTCACATTTACCATCTACAAATGTCCATAAATTTCAGGGACCTCGTGTTTTCCGTGGGTGTTTAGATTGACTGCAGCCCCGAGTATGGTAGGCTTCATAGCCACCTCAGACTCCAATTGTAACAACATGGACATGAGCCTTTATTGGCTTAGAATACATGCCCATTCCCACCTTTCGGTTTGAGATTATCTTTTTATGGTTCATCTGGTCCTTTCTATCCATTTGAGGAGTGCAGCTTCCCTTCCTTTTCCCTCTTCTTGGAATAGCATTCCTTCTATGTAGCCTATTTTGAATTTTTCTCTACAGAATGCCTCTTTCTATTAGCTGTGAACTTGGCTTGTCCAAATATATCTAGCCAAGTTCCAATTCCTCCAATGAGGTCACATTTTAGTCTTTCAGGTGGTCAATTTTGGTCTATCCACCAGGAAAGCTATTGCCACTGTATGCTACTGGCAACAATGCAATTTGGATAAATGTAGTCAACCTAGAGCCGTTGTGTGTCCCAAACGACTGCCAGGTGAGTGGAGATTACAGCTGCGTATGCCCTTGTCCGGGTAGTCCACAAGGCTTCCCAGGGGCCCCTTTGCCAGAGGGTGGAATTTGTGCTGTCAGGAACTTCCGTCCACCAACTGACTTCCATAAAAAGTTCTTTAAGGGCCGTGCCAGTGCAGTTGGTGCCGGACAAGGGCATCCAGCCACAAGCACTGGGTGGTGGTCATTTGGGCAGGTTGCTTGGGGCCAGCTAGGTTTCTTCCATTATACTCAAGCAATTGTCTAAGCTTGTCATCACTAATATCTATTGTTATGCAATATTTTATCTGATTATATCTCCTCAATAATTGTCCCAATGCATTGTTGGGTAAGTATTCCTGCAGGGCATTATATTTGGTGAGAGCTTTATAATAGAAACACCCTGCAGAGGGGGCACTTTGGGGAATGTTTGGAGTGAAACTGTTTCATTCAGTGGCTTTCATTTCATCCCGATCTATGTCATCCTAAACCACATGGGTTCTGTTGGCAGGGAAATCGGTGAGGTTTGCAGGGACCCAGGAGAAGTTTTCAGTTTTGAAGATAGGAGTGTGGGGTAAGCAAGTAGAGGAGATTGTGGGAATACGGTGAGCAGGTAAAACATTTTTCTAACTTTAACAAGAAAATTTATAACCATGCTCATCATTCATTTAACCAAGAGTGATAGTCATCAAAAGACTTCAAAGAGAATACAAGAAGTTACATGGATGAAAAAGCCTTAACCCTTTTAAAGTTTTTTTTTTGTTGTTGTTTTTTTAGTTAATCAAAAATCTAACAAAGACGACACAGAAATTATCTTGGTAAAGCATAAAATCCTGTTTCTTTTAAGCCAGTTACCCAAAAGGCAAAGAAAAACCTTCTGTGGCATGACTGTTTCTTTTTCACAGGAAGCTCATGTAGACAACTTGGAAGTCAAACCTGATGAAAAGTCCTTGAATTAATCAGGCACAGCAAGAGTGCGTCCAGGGGTGGAGTGTACACATTATAGAGGAATGTGAGCAAGGAAAACTAATGCCTTGAGTAGGGGAACACAGGGCTCTTAGTGACAGCGTGAGAAGTTTTCGACATATTAAAAATTCTGACATATCCAGAAAAGCTGAGTATAGAATTAAGTTACATTGGGGGGGGAACACTGTCTTTTCTAAACCTTTAAGATAAAACATTTTGGTGTCAGGCCATAACAACAGACTTAGAACCAGAGGGGGGAATTCAGGAGCTGATTTGAGAAGCTGAAGGAGAGTTATCATTCTGGCTTTCTAGGGGAGAAAAGGCTGAAAGCAGTGAGATACAGCCAAAGTTGGGCTTTTGAGATATAAATCTGAGAAGCTTTAAAAAGAAACAGGTTATAGAATTAAAATTAAAATATCTTAGAATTTCATCAAGAACAGATTACTACTTTATGAAAACGTTGTTGTTTCACCTTAAAGATTTTTCCTTTTAGTTATAGTCAACTTAATCACATATAAAGCTCCTTTATAAATTCCTTTTTATGAACCTTATTATGACTTATACAGACCATCTACAACATGCTTGGACTTTCTGCTTTGTCCTAAATTTCTCTTTTTCTAAATAACCAGTCATTTTACTTTAGGATAAAAATTGACCATACAGGATTCTTCCTCATGTAAAATTATTTTTTCTGTTTACCCTTTTATCAAATATATTTTCATATTCATAACTTTGTATCTCTCTCTTCTATTTATTGGTTCCTTTATCCTTGCTTTATTTCTTCTAAATTACATTTTGAATTAATCTTCAAATAACTTCCAAATTAGACAAAAATTTTTCTTAATGAACACATTTTATGTCTTTCTTACAATTTTTTTCTCAAAAGCACATCTTATATGTTTACTTTTGGCTACATACATTAACCAGAAATTCTAACTTCTAGTAATACAATCTTAGTTAAAATCCAGGAAGCAAGAAATCTTGAATTGTCTGTCATTTATCAATGTTTTATAGATTAAAACCATTTTATAATTTTTAGGCAAGTGTTTTCCTATAATATAATTTTTCTGTCAATTGGAATGACCAGACATTTTATGAGTATCTAGTATTTAATTTGCTATAACTTTTAAATTTTAAATTATATGAAATTAATTCATAAGCAATAATCTCATTTACATTTACCTGATTATTTTAACAGTTTACTTAGATTACTTATGAAAACTAAGATATTAGACAAAACTAGTTATCATTTTAAGTTATCTTTCTTTTTTTTTTTTTTTATGGCCACTCCAGCTAGAGCGTAGTGGCATCAATCATAGCTCACTGCAATTTCAAACTCCTCGGCTCAATCTATCTTCCTACCTAAGCCTTCCAAATAGCTGGGCTTGGGCTACAGACATGGGCCACCAGGCCAGCTAATTTAAATTGGAGAGACAGGGTCTCACTATGTTGCTCAGGCTGGCCTTGAACTCCTGACTCGAAGTGATCCTTCCATGTCAGGCTTCCAAAGTACTAGGATTACAGGCATAAGCCACATGCTTGGCGTTTTTAGTTATTTTCTTGTTAACAATTTATAGTCTGTGATATTAGTTTCACCTAAGTAATAGCCTAAACACTAGGATGTTTGCCGAAACAAAAGCGCGATAAACCCACAATATAAATGGTCTTTTTTGAGACGGTCTCACTTTGTTGCACAGGCTAGAGTGCAGTGGCCTTGTGGCGTCATGCCTAGCTCACACAACCTCAAAACTCCTGGGCTCAAGCAATCTTCTGCCTCAGCCCCGGAGAGCTGGTCACTCAAGGCATGCGGCACATGCCCGGCTTAATTTCTATATATATATTATATATTTAGGGCATTATTTTCTTGGTTTTTATTAGTCAGAGACGGGGTCGTTGCTCAGGTGGTTTCACTCCCTGGACTGAGCATGCGCCGCTCGGCCTCCCAGAGTGCTAGGATTACAGGACTTGAGCCACCTGCCCGGCCTTTAAATTAGTCTTATTATTCAAAATCACATTGAACGACAGATTCATTTTGGTTTTGGATGGGTTTTAATATTTATTACCTTAGTGTCAAACCCTGACACCTTTAAAACATCTAAGCAGAGGCAAAAATATTATAAAAAGGACCAGGAAACCAGGCAAATTGTATGCTGCAATTTTGAAAGACACTATATTTTTTCTTTACCAATAATTTTTTAAACCAGTTTATTCACCAGATTACTAAATTTATGTGAACTTGAAAAGCATTTTGACTTATTTACTTAATTTAT